CCCCTAAAACTTTTGACGGATTAAAAAAAAACAAAGTTGCAATGGCAAGCATCTATATATATATATACTTTGCTTGGGTGTCTGTTTGTTTGTTTATTTATTTGTAAACAAAAAACGTCAAAACCGATTGTGCCCAAAATTTGTGTGGGACCTCCCATGACCCACAGGAAAGATTTATGGAACATAAAAACTTGAACAAATGTCATTTATTGGATTTTTTTTTGAAATGGCCGACGTTCGCAGCAACAGTTAAAAGCTAAATTTATTTACTGGAAAAATTTGAGGTTTGTCAATTTTTTTGTGTGAAATTTTGTAAAAATTTTAGGTAAAGGCGGGGGATGAATTGAATACTGAAAATTTAAGTTGAACACCTGACCATGGAAGAGTCTAAGTATGCTATTAATATTAATTTTAAAAAAAAATTCTCTAATTATCTTTGACCAATTAGGTAATTAGGTAATTTCAGGTAATTCTTTACACAGTACATTTCTGACTTCGTTTTGCAATAAAACACTTTATGTAAACTTAACTCCCCCACCCCATCTTTATGATTTACCTAAACGACTTTGCAACATCATAATTTTCCAAACTTCGTTTTGAAAACATGAAAGTGGGTCTCTGATTGTACTCCAATGATGATGATTTCATCCTAGACTCCCCATTGGCCTTTTCAAGAAATATGATATACGGAAATTTACAGGCCAGAAAACACGTAATTACAGGCGCAAAAATCTATTTAAAATTTTAACTTTAAACTTAAACAATGTGAAAATTCAGACATAAAAAACATTAAAAATTTTGCCCGGTCAGTTTTCATATAAATCTTTCTTTAAAAAAACTTTCTAATATGTCCATATATGCATCTAAAAAATGTATATCGTATTGTGTAAACGAAATTTGCATTAAAAAGTCAAATCAAAATTACTAAAAATTTCAAAACTGTTTCCAACTGTTCAGCGTACATATTTGGGCCAGTTGACATAATGGTAATTGATAAAACTGATTCTTTGGGTAAAGAGTAAACA